TCTCCTCTCTCACTCTCTCTTTAAAAAAAAAAGAAAACTTATACAGACCAATAATTAGTAATGGGATAGAAGCAGTAATAAAATGCCTTCAAAGAAAAGCCTATAACAGATGGATTGTCAGCTACCAGACTTTAAAGACCCAATCTCAATGCTCTTCAAATTATACCAAGAAATAAAAAGGGATGAAATACTTGCAATGTCATTCTATGATGCTATTCTCATACTCATCCAAAACCAGGTAAGGACACATCAAGGAAAGAAAACTACGATCCCAATATCGCTTGGGTGCAAAAATGCTTAGGAAAATATTATTAGCCAATTATATTCAACAACATCTTCAGAAAATTGTACATCTTGACCAAATTAGTTTAACTCAGAGATACAAGGATGGTTTACATACACAAATCAATAAATGTAACATATCACATAAATAGAATTAAGGACAAAAAAATCACTAGGTCATCAAAACAGATGCAGAGAAAACTTCCAACAAAATACAGTATCCATTAATGATTTAAAAAAAAAAAACACTGAAGAAACTAGGAAAGGCAAGGCATGTAATTACCATATGACCCATCTATAAAACTTCCTTGGTAATGTTATCATACTTTAATCTTATAGTGAATCATACATACACATGTAAAAAAAAAGCACAATTCACAATAGCCAAACTATGGAACCAGATTACATGGCCATCAATGGATGAATAGATAAAGAAAATATGGTATATATACACAATGGACTTTACTCAGTCACAAAGAAAAATGAAATTACTTCATTGTCATGAAAATGGATGAAACATGAGAACATTGTATTAAGTTAAATAAGTCAAACTCAGAAGAGCAAGGGTAGTATGTTTTCTCTCATATATGGAAGCTAGAGCGGAAAAAGGACTAGAAAGTTATAGCAGAGTCTCATGAAAATCACAAGGCAATCAGTAGAATGGAGAAAAAAGGTTGAGGGGTAGGAGAAAGGGAGGGAAGGGGAAGTTCTGGAGAGTGATATTGATCAAATTTATTGTTATATTGTGTGACTGTACAAATATGTGACAAATACTCCCACCATTATGTACAACTATAATGAACCAACAAAATATGTAGGACAATAAAGCAACAACAAACACAAACCACAGAGTATTAAAATGAACTAAAAAAGATGCAAATATGTTGGACAGAGTTACTGCATGGTTGAGAGGTGGGGTAGGCACAACTAAAGCCTAGAACATGAGCAAGTTCATTTATTTTGACCCATTATGAACCTTCTACAGGCTAACACTATGGTGAGGACACAAACAAAAAGAGCGTCTTGCTGGGTGTGGTGGTGCATGCCTGAAATCCCAGTGACTTGGGAGGCTGAGACAGGATGATCACAAATTCAAAACCAGCCTCAGCAAAAAACGAAGAGCTAAGCAATTCAGTGAGTCCCTGTCTCTAAATAAAATACAAAATAGGGCTGGGGATGTGGCTTAGTGGTTGTGTGCCCCTGAGTCCAATCTCTGGTAACAAACAAACAAACAAAAGAACATCTTCCCTGAATTAGAAAATGTAAAAGAACTCAGACTCTAAGTTAATCTCAGATTGTGCAAAACCTTTTAGGCCCAGCACATTGGTATGATCCCTTTGTTTATTCTCTCAACAAACTTGTCAATGATTACTATCAATGAGCTTCTTTGTTAGATTTTTAGAAGCACCAGGAGTAAATTCCAAATTCCAGCTCTCCAGAAGGTTAAAGTTTAATAGAGAAATTGACATAACAACAACTAGTTTCTTCCCATATAAGGGGGAAAAATTACTGTACTTCAGTACTTATTTCACAGATACCTCAAATCTAGTACCCCAAAAAATAACTTATCATTTTGTATAGTCTTATATGGTCCAAGTATAAACCTTTTCAGAAATCCTTACTTCAGTTAATGTCACAACACCCACACAGATGTGAAAAAGAAGATGGTAAACATTGTCCAAGATTTCCTCTCCCTTATCAGTATGGGCATCAAGATCTGGGGTTCCCAGATCTTGTAACCCCACTTTCAGTATCAAAGATATCTATTCTTCTCTTTCTCTTGTCCTCTACTAGTCAAAGCTCAATCCCCACCCCAACCCAAGCAACTGGAAACCTTAAAAGCTCTCTCTCAATGTCTGGTCTGTCCAACTATTGTCCGGAGAGTAGCCCCAAACATTTTCTAAATGAAAACTAGAACAGGTTAAACTGGTCTATCAATGAGTTCTCATTGCCTTTTTAACAGTATAATGATCTTGTTTACTATGGAATGAAATTTAAAAGAGTAATCCTAAATTAGGATTCTGTAAACTTAACTCAGAAAAAGGAATAGAATCGATAAAATTATGTTTTTTTTTGTGTATATCATTACTATGGACCAAAAAATATAATGTCACTAAAAAGGGCCTACTCAGGACCTGACACAAGTACCATGTTTACCTTAAATTGCAGCATTTCATCCTTATGGTAGGTCACCTGCAGGTGGAGGGGATTCACAGGTGTGGAGGGGAAGGTGTTGGCATAAACAGAAGGCTTTAAGGAGATGTCAGCCGTGGCCCCATGGGAGTTGTACTGGACATTGCTCACAGAGTACAGATCATTGACAAAATAACAATGAGGGACTCCAACAGAACTGGATTCCTGGAAAGGAAAGTTGAGACTGTAGATCAACAGGTGGTCCTAGAGTTGTCAAATA